CTTCTTAGATAGTCTAACTAATAAAATTTCTATTCTTTTAAAAAATGCATGGTCTGAGATAACTAAATATCTATAATTGTTCACTAGTATGATGATTTGAGTCACTTTTAATATTACTATTCGATGATCTTTGAAGTGTTCGTAAAGTAATTCGCATATAACTTGCATTAGAGGTTTGAGAAGCACTATTTCCATAACTGATGGAAGTTATAATTGCTGTTAAATAGTTATATAATGAGATCATTGATACTTGTGGTATTAAATAGACTGAACTTAAAGCTATGAAGACTAGAGATAATGATATTGTAAACCAGCCAATACGATAGGCCATTGAATGTAATCGAACAGTAATAGTAAATAAAATTACAAATATTATCGACGGTATACCCAATGCAAGTAAAATACTAATAATAAAGCATATTCGTTTTAAAATACGTGAATCACGTATATTTTGTTGACGTCGAATATGTATAATTGATTGACGACGAATATAGACTATTATCCATATGTAAATGATACATATAAGACATAATGGAATAAAATAGACACCTAATATTGAAAAAACAATTGCTTTTAAATTTGTCATTGGTACTTGACAATAAAATTCATTCGGTAAATAAACAATAAAACGACGTATACGCATTGGTAATATTAAAAGAAACGATAGAGACCATTGAACTAATATGAATAAAAGATAATTTCTAAACATTTGTAAATATTTACATTTGTAAAATGCAATACGACAAAGACGAAAAAATGCTTGTAAACAATAGCTCAAATAAATTGCATTAATAAATACAAATAATAGGTAGCCACGTCCGATACACCATTGTTGAAAGAAATATAGACTTGATAGATGCCAATCACCAGAAATACTGGCAAAATTCATGTAAAATAACATTAAACATGAACAAAAAACGGTTAGACAAGTATTACATGTTAATAACATAGAGACACTGTTTTGAGCATTATATCGTCGACGACAATAACTCACAACAACTAATAAAATTGTAAACAATGATACGATAATTGCAATAATAATACCGAATAATGTACTCAGATTGATTAATGTTTTAAACCATAATAAACTAGTTTTTGTTGCATTTGTAGAATTTTCAACAAACATTATTGAAATATTTTAAACTTATATCTGTTTTTCAACCGACAGTGACAAGGAGTACATTTGGTTAGTTTACATGTTGATCAAAGTGATGATAATCAATGTGTGAAAAGAAAGAGGAATTCGATAGACTTAGAAATTGAAGATGCTTTGTCTCATTTCATGTTGTAGCAGAAAAGAATTGTACGTCTTTGAAAACGATCAAATTAATTTCTTTGGACATAATAGAAAATATTCTTGTTTTTTTGCTTTAGTACTTTGTAATAACAACTTTTAATTACCAGCAAGTATAGATGTTCGATTCTCGCTTCTCAATAAAAACCGGAACTGCGGTTCACTTATTTTCGGTTTTTCATCGGGAATCGGCATCGCACTACAATTTCTGACAATAGAACCGGAACCGCTGTTCTTTAGACGGTTCCTTTTTTTCGGAATCGAAATCTTTTTATTTACATCTACTAAACCGCCCCAAGCATAGAATGCCATGATCTTCTATTATGGTTTCACACATCGCACTTTTTTCGATGAAAAACTGCCCTACAACTAAGATGCAACTAAGCTATCTCGTTTATTTCAGAGTCAGTTAGAGCTTGACCTCAAGACAAATACAAAGTAATTTTATTTCTTTATCTTTCTCATACTGAAAAATGTCTCTTTGTTCACAGGAACTGTGTTTATTTTTTTTATGTAACTCTACTTTATAGTTATAATAGTCTGCGGATCATACACCACATTAGAAAATAAGACGTGTGCTGCATATAACAGACTGATAACATATATATCAGGGCGTTTTTCAAAAATTTTCTCTCTAGACTGGCCTTCTATTCTGGGCGAGGAGTGCAACTTTATTTCGAGAAAGCTATGTTTAACGTTCATAAGGTACACTTGTACGCAACTTCTTTTACATGAGATAGAATGTCTTACCTTTCTTTCAACAAAATGAAAACACACTCTTGACAAAGCTACAAAACGACATATTTGTTTGTCATCATTTAAAAGAATCCATTCGTTTACTATAAAATGAATTCTATTTCGTTGAATTGTCACTGTCTGAAAATTTCTTTTCAGGTTCTGAGCTGAGAACCGAGAACAACGGTTTCAATTCTAGAAACGCGATTCTTGATTCCGGAACCGAGAACCGAACATCCCTATCAGAAAGTTGTTGAGAACTTTCGAAGCTGTTATTTATAAGCAAAATGATTAATGATAATGGAGGAAAAAGCATAGAGTTAATTCATGAATGTTTGAAAATTTATTTATTTTATTTTTTATATTTATTTTTTTGGCACCTATCGAAAAGTGAATCAGTTAGGGAGCATTTCAAAATGTATGCCGGTCACTTGGCCGCTCTGCCGTTCAGCTGGCCGCAGATTGTTCTGCCATTCTGCAGCATTTCATTTCTAATTTATTTTATTTTGTTTAATTTTGATTTCTTTGATTGTATTGTGGATTAGACCCGATTGTGATTAGACGATTGTGGTCGGGTTGAATATTTGGCGACGCAATTTAAAATATAAATAATATTTTTAGCTTTGTATTACTGGTTGAAAGTTATCTCTACTGGAATTTCCAGTTGAAAGACTTGTTTCAGAAAAACTGCACTCACTAAGCCGATTAATGATTGCTTTCTTTGCACATAAGAGAGTGCTTCCTGCACTGAAATCAATGGTAATACATCCCTTACTGCTTTTTTTCAATGTACTGTTTTAAACACCCGTACATAGAAGACTTTACTATAATGCTCTCTTAGTATTAGGTGATACTGACTGACCAATGAGAAAAAGGATGTGGTCATCATCTCGGTTAAGATAATCTATTGACAAAGTGTACTGAGGGATTTTCAATAGATTAACCTTTTAGATAAAATGATCAATCAGACGTCGTTCAAAAATTTTTTTTTGAACTACGAGTTTCTACAATATGCACCGAAAAACTTTTGTCTAACAAGGCAAGTCTATATTCTTTCTCAAACACAGTTTTCTGGTGAGACTGTTTTCATCGGGTCGGATTGGGTTCGGGTTCAGATGTTATCGGATCGGGTTCGTGCAGGTCTCTATTGTGGATACATACATACATTGACATATATATTTATATATTTCCAATTTATTCGTTATTTTTAAAATAACGAGTATTGTGGCATATAAGCAAGAGAATGCAACAAACGAAGAAGAGTACGTTTTTATTTACATTTACTACTATACAAGAAATGGTGTCCTCTCAGTTCGTCCCAAACTGGCTTTGTAAGATCAACCAACATCAAAGGGGGGGAGCAGGTGTGAGAGTGGGCAATTTGGGACGAACTAAGAGTCAACCACAAGAAATATACCGCAAATACATTAGGTTTTACACATTTTGTACTTATTTGATTACACTTTTTATTTAAAGTTTCTATAAATAGAGCACTACTTTTCTGCTTTTCATTGAAATGATAAAGGAACGTTTCAAAATATATTCCGCTCGGTAGGTCGCTGTTCCGCTATTCCTGTATTCCGCAGTTATACGATGTTTCATTTTATAATAATTTTTATATAAATGTACAGAAACTTCATTTTCTTTTCAATTGATTTGATTACTTCTTCAAATACAATTGACCCCTATGTGTCAACCCATCAAAAACACATACAGTTTTTTTTTACAGTTTATTATTCTGATACTATTTCCTAATTACTTTCCTTCCTAAAATTTCCTCCCTAGTATAAGAATAGAATAAACTGTAAAAAAAAACTGTATGTGTTTTTGATGGGTTGACACATAGGGGTTAATTGTGTTTGAAGAAGTAATCAAATCAAATTGAAAAGAAAATGAAGTACCTGTACATTTATATAAAAATTATTATAAAACGAGGATAGTATTTGTTGACTTTCCCAAGTAAAATGTAAGTACTTGACTTACACAATGCAAGTAAATTTACTTGAAAAAGTTCAGTCAAGTACTTGTTCCATTTATTGTTATTTTGAATTTTACACATATTCTGGAGCTATACTCTACTTTTGTAGATCAAATACGGTTACTGAGTTTGTTCAACTCAGTAGAAATATATAAGTTTATTCTATAAATGTATAACGATTGATATTGTGTGTTTACATACAGCTAGTCAACGCAAAGAAAAGAGTGACTGACTTGTCCAAGTACTTGGCTGAAGTAAGTCAAGACGACACTTGCCAAGTTCTTGCTCAAGTAGTTGCCAAGTGCTTAACTTATCACGTACTTCCCAAGCACTCATCAAGTACTTGTACCAAGTGCATCCACTAAGGTATTCGCGCAGGCCCTTGAACAGCTATGTTCAAGAAAAGAAGAAACTCTGCTTTATTGAGTTTGAAAATTTTTGCATTCATATCAGAGTTGAAACCGGATCGGCAGATCGGTCGGTGTAGAAAAATTTTCATACCGACTGGTATCGACCGGTTTTTGCCATTTTTAGAATTTTTAGCATCTTCATTCAAAAGAGACTTGATAAAACAACTAAGAGAAATAAGAAAAAGCTAGTGAAGACCACTATGTCCTTAAAGATATTTAGTTTTACTGATAAAAGTTCTCAACCGACTGGTTTTTTTGCAGGTTCCATGCCGGTTTTTCACCGGTGTAGAAAATTTCTGAAAACCGGCCGTTTTCACCGGTCTAAAAAAGATTTTGGGGTCGGCCAGTCCGGTCTCCTGTTTTGAACCGGTCGGCCCGGTCCAGCCTCTTAGTTTTAGACTGGTTCCAACTCTGATTCATATGTAAATAAGAGTGTGAAACAAGACGGTGATTTAAGAATTGTCAATATCCTGGTCACAAGAAGTTTTGCTGGAATTCATATACTAACAATGTACCGACATTTGAGTTTTCTTCGAAACCGAGAAAGTTGTCCAGCTAGTTACGCATAATTTGTACTTGACGCTGGTGCATGCGTATTTTCACGAATCATCACAAAAAACGATATTTACAACTGAAATAATCAAGACCATTAATTTTGACAACTAAAGTTAGTCCAATTTACTTTTGAAAAAGAAGCTGTATATATTATAAGGAGGGATGACCTCTTCATATGAATATAGCAATAATTTCTGTACTCCTGTTAGATACAACGTAAGGCGCGAAACCTTTGTGTTAACTTGAAATCACATTATTTTAAATGCTGTGCGTCTAGCATATACGAATCGAAGCCGTAGTATTTTAACATTGTTATCACCATTAAATAAGTTTGCTATGCTGTTCACCGTGACAACGGCCACACCATATAAAAAGATCTTGTTATTCAACGTATATGGTAATTAATAATTCAGTATAAAAAAGAGAGCGCTTTTCCTTTAGTTTACGTTCATTCTTCATGACATTTTCTGCACTTTTACTTTGAGAAAACATATTTCGATAAAATATAGATTTGATTCTGTTTATGTTTAGCTAACGATCTATGTGTACAAAAAGATAAGCAACAGAAGACAACTATTGAGTGCCAACTATACTACGCGAAAATTGAAAAGTTGTCGAAGTTTCCATATTTTGTTTTCAAAGAATGGATCAAAGAAAATATATAAAAATATACTAAACCTAAATTTATGTATAAATTTCTTTTGCGATTTTACATCTTTTTTGCTAAATACGGTTCTTGATCGATCGCATAAAATTCATAAAAATGGTACAAAAGCTAGGTCCAAAAGGATTAAGATAAGCTAGAAGAGAAGGCTAGAGAACTTTATATTCTATATATGTTATCAGTCTAAAGCATAGTCTGAGTAGTCATCGAGTTTCAATGACAAACAAGGAAGGTCTAGAGCAATAGAAATGCCATGCCTCTACAATGTGGAGTGCATCAGTTACTTCCGCAAACAAGCGACATCTCTCAACTTCAATGCAAATAAGGGCATTTCAGCATAGTAACTCTTAAACTAACGTTAAATTTAATTATATTTACTCAAATCAGTCTTTAATTTATAACTTCATATCAAATATTAAAGACGTCAAAAGCTAATGATGAACGACAAAAAGCAGCTGACTCTTCTCTCTCTCTCCTCTAGTTTATCTTAAAGGTGTCAGAAAGAAAGAAGACTGTTGCTGGGCGACGGCTTTAGTGGAAAGAACCGTTGATAACCTAATAAGCTAAAGCAGCAGGCAGTTTTGAGAAAAATTTGAGTTTTTAACTTCTGATCTTGGCGTTTCAGATGTTGATATACAGACACTGAAGAGTCCGAAATGTTTTGGGCAATGTCCGAAATAATTATGAATAGTTATAAAATGATTTATAAACGTTTATTTATAATTTTTTGATTTATAAATGGGTTTATAAACGGTTTTCCGTTGGAAAATGATCGAAACACGTTGAGTATTACATACTTTTCAAAGTATACGATAGCACATTCTCGATATTTGATTTACTTGTTGAATCTTTCACAGGTACTCTTGAGTTAACTGAGCAAGCGCTTGGTCGAATACTTGATTTACTGGCGAAAAATCCCAGGAATGTTGGATAAAACTTGCAAGAGCATTCGACAAGTACATTCACTGGGAGCCGTATTAAAAGTCTTCTCACTTAGCTGTTATTTCCTTTCAACTTTTTTGACACAACAGTCAGAAACGATTTGTTGTTTGTTGTTTTTAGATCGATAATTAAGCGTGTAGGAAATGTCAAAACGAACATTTATGTCGCAAGATAAATCTGGTTCATGCAGCCTATTTGGAATTAAATCAACATTATGGATGATGAGTTTACTATTGCTGGTAAATAGAAATTTCCATGAGATGAACGATGATTGCGCTATTCTCATTCGAACAATCATAGGTAGACAGAATTCATCAAATTACGACTCATTTTTCTTTATTTTCCCAAATTACTCTAATTTTGAATGTTGTTTTTAGCCTATGGCTTATTTTGAAACAGACCCTGGATTATTAGTGAAAGATTGTGTTTTCGGACCCAACTCGTTTCCACCACTTTTAACTTTTTTATCATTAAGAGACGCAGAAAAGCAAGAGGAAATGATTTTTTTTATAAAATAAAAATTGAGTATGCTGCGCCTCTTTTGACGAATGTTGGAACTATATAATATTTTTTAGTGCAGTCATTCTCATTGAAACACCAAATATACACATAAAAAGACTAAATATATATTTATATATTTCTTCGTTTAGATCTCAACTGGTTTCTTATCTTACCTGTGTGGTTGGACATTAATATCAAAACTAAAGTATTCTCTACTGTCCTCATCATCGTCGATTTATGCACTTTCTACTTATCTCCTTCTAATCTGTTCGCTTTTAACAACCATCGCTATTCTTTGCATATTCATCACAGCATGGATCGAACATCAACAAGGATTAAGATGGGTATGTGTGAAAATCTGCGTCTCGGATAGGAAAAAAGAAATTGTATGATAGAAATTGAAAGTCATATCATTTTCAATGGTATTTGACAAGATGAGATTGCTTAGTTGTTTTTGATTAAAGTAATAGTGTCCAAATGCTCATGAGTTATCTTTAGTTTTTTATGACTCGCCGTTGAATAGTGCTCTCATGCTCACCATTGTGCTTCTTTCATTTAGACTTTGCTGATTTTGGCTATTACATTTTTAATTGAACTTATTGCTGGACTTCTGTCGTTTGTTTATACCGTCAATGTAAGCGAATCTCAAGCAGTCCACATATGTAAAGATTGTGCGTCGCTTTTAATACTGCCAGCAAGGTTTACTTTTGAAAAGCCATACTCCAAATGTAAACTTTGTTCGGTCTCACATACTATTACTATTTTTTGTATGTGCAAGTGAAATTGTAATATGTAATTTCGCATTCTGTCTATATAATAAATAGTAGCTGTTATTTATGAAGATTTTCAACACCACTCAACGACAGAATGTTCTATAGACGATACTGATTGAAAATGTTTCTTGTATTTCAGTTATCTGATCGTTTATCATCGAATTTATTGTCGTTAATTGAATACAAATATCACGTTGATACACGAAAAGAACAAGATTTTGATCAAATGCAAATATACGTATGTGTTGAAATGTTACTTTCCTACCATGATCTAACTGTTTGTTTTGTTTTCTACGTTCAGTTCCGTTGTTGTGGTTCTACATCGTTTAAAGATTGGTCATTATCACCTCGTTTCAATTCCAACAACACGGCGTTTGTGGTACCCGATAGTTGTTGCAAATCCTTTGAACATAAATGTGCACAAAAACCATTCGGAATACATCCGTCAAACATCTATTATCAAGTAAGTATTCTTCCAATCCGTCTGGCAGAAAATACCTTTTGAGTTCATATTTTATATTAGAAAATAAGATAGTTTATCAGATCAAGGACGAGTACTTGCAGTAAAGAGACTAATATTTCAACATATTGTTTCAGAAACATATCCATGCCACTTATTCTATTCGGTTTTTCGCATTCTATTGAAACGCCTGCCATCATCTTTTCAAATTGAACTGTAGCAAGGAAAAAAGGACTTATATAGGTAGCATTCACATTTTTATGATCTTTTCAAGTAAGTTCAAGTTCAAGTTCAAATTTATTTTGCGTAAGCAAGGGCATCACAAAAGAAAGTAAACGTTTAGTAACTTATAACATCTGATAAACCGAAGCCTTAGTGATACCTGTATGTAAGTATTATTCATGGAAAATAAAATGAAGTATTTTCTAAAGTACAAAAGAATTGAATCGAATGAGTGTCATATACTGAGCAGTTTTCTATAGACCAGATGGACATGTGTTTTTTTTAATTCAGAAAGAGACTATTTTTGCTCAGTACTACTTTATTACGTATTAAATGTTGTTATAAATTTAAAAAACCCGAATTCGGAAAAAAAACCTTTTAATGAAAAATTTCTCAGGAGATCCTTGCCCTTAATTTTTGTCGAAAAACTTTTTATTCAAAAATGAACAAGTGATACGTTATTCGATGTAGTTTTATACACTGATTCCAAATATCACATTATTTGTTTATACAAATATTCCTGACCTAAGAAAAATGCATTTTACCTAAAAAACAAGGGTTTTTTGGAAGACTCATATCCAAGTGTAGGAGAATATTTACATAAAGTTGCATGCATCATGGATGCAAGACATGTTGCGGAACATTTTACACTAATTCTATGTGAGATAACACTTTAGAAAAATTTTTAAGTTTGCAGTGTCTGTTCGAAAAGAGGATCATCTCGGAAAATTATTTTTTTCTGCTATGCCGTAGGTTTAAAAAGAGAACATTTTCTACGGATCGACAGCTAAGACTGTCTATCCAGAATATGTATAGTGTTTAAACTTGAAACGACTTCCTCTATTAGAAAAAATGGTTTCCTTCGAGATCACTAGTATTCAGGCTCTTTTTTGCTTACACATTTTTTCCAAAAATTCAGCACGTGGAAAAAAAATTTTTACAACATTAGGTAGCCCGTATATCAAAGTATATATGGAACTATTTGAATCTTTTAAAAGTGCCAAATGTCCGCCTGGATGCCTATTGTGTGCCATGGATATGTATCTGAAACAATGCGCTCAAATATTAGAGTCCCTTTACTGCAGTACTTCGAAATTACCCGTCCTTGACTTGTAGTTTACAAGATGAAGATAGATCTAATTATACTGTAAAGTACAGATAAGTCAAGATAGTCGTCTGTTTACTTTATTTTTGAAACCTATTACAATTAGTTCGATTTAGAATGTAGAAATTACCAATTTTAACTATTATGAAGAACTTTGACCCTGGAAACACCATATGTGTACTGAAATATTTCTACAGACCGAATACAGTTATATTATCACTGAAAATGTATGTTGTTTCATTTCAGGGCTGTTCACAAGCATTATATCGTTATTATCATCAACATTTGGTAACACTGGGCTGTGTAGCCATTGGTGTCACATTTTTACAGGTAATTATAGTCACTTTCTCTCTTTAACTTTATTTTAGCCATCTATCATTTAGGTATTTACAATTATCCCATTGTTTTGGTTAATAAAACGTTTACAAAAGCAGTTAGCTCATTCAATTGCACCTATCACTACCAATAAACAACATCATCTATCACAAGAACTCTCTTATATTCCAATACAACAAGGCGAAACATAGAGACGAGTCACCGCATTTGTTCAATGATTAACCCGTCCGTTGATGGTTTTTTTCCATGTCGTGTTCAGATTCTTTTTCTCAATTCTTTTTTATAGTCAAATTTTGACGACGTACTATTTTTGTATGATAAAAGGCACTCAAGTATTTTACTTACATTCCATAGTGGCAAGTTAGTTATACATACTAGTGTTGAGTAACTATAGTTATTCGATAAAAATTATTTGATTCCTCCATTGCGCCTTATTCAAGCTTTTTATTTTCATCTTTTTATGTTTAATCTATGTGTGTTTCATGTCAAACAAAAATTGTCGAATATCTGTACTTGTCTGTTTAATTGCATGGTATATTTGATCTCACATATTATTTCAGATAATTATTCTCTATTTTAGTCAGATTTTAATCACTGTCTATTTGACTTTTTTATAACAGTATTTTTTTTATATAAATTAGTTTTTATGCATGTTTCTTTTTACACTTTGTTCCTAATTTTATCCTATCAGTTATGTTGCATGTATTTGATTGCTAAATAATGAAACTAAAGAGAATAATATCGTAAATATTAAAAATACGACTCAGATACACTTGCTAAGACTTGTTTCAATGGACTAAGTGACATATTTTTGAGCGAAACAAGTAACAAAAAGAAAGAAATGTGTACATTGTTTTAAATAACGATAAAAAAGTGTTGTTTATATTGCAATCTTGAGATACATTTTGAGTTTCAGAAACGTAAATATTTACAGTTTTAAGTTCTAGAAAAGCGAATTACAAGTATCCATCTGTCAGTTTTCTTGTGTATGAATGATTCATCCTACGTATCACCAAAAAGAATTATGTAGATGGATTTTTCTATTATTGGAACGTCTTTGTATACAGCGCTACTGTTTAAAACAATTAGTTCGCTGGACTAGAATCAAAACATAATGTCTTTTATCTAATATTAAAACCTATGTCAATCCTCGATCAAACAATCAGATCAATATATATTCTGATAACTGCTGAGCTGTCCGCGAAAGTATAATATAATCCTTTAAGGATTAACTAGCGTTGAACAGCTAATTAATCTAGCAAAGTGGATAGGAAAACGTTGTATTTTGTATACGATCAAAAACGATCAAGTAAAATTTATGAAAAATGCCTCCAGAATTCTAGCATATAAATGTGAGAGTCGCTCACAATACATCTACAAACTCTGATGATACCACAAAAGACATAATTTCCGACTATTAGAATTGGTTATGAAGCAACTTGTCCTGCTGGTAATGGCAAATACGTTGATAAAACTTGCCGTCATCTGACAATTCCTAACACCTAACGGACCAACAGAAACCATGTCATGATTCTCTGGTCTAGTCCAGAGAAAGTGGACTCGAAGGGATAAAGTCGTTCGAGCAACTCACATTACTTTCCTGCAGCTCAAACTATGGTTGGCAAAGGATTTGTTGAATAGTGATTTAGAAGCTTCGTTCATTAAGTTTTCACTTTCAGCTCCTCATTCAATTAAACCGAAATTCGTGGATAAAAATATTCGTTTTGATGGAATAAATCTAGGCATGTACCAGTTAAAAACCTGTTCGGGCTTCTACGAAAATTGTTATAAGTCGCCTATAAAGAATTACTCAGAGTCGGGAACGCCTCATTTTGTAGGGAAATGTTTCTTGAAAACTCAGCTGTGAAAAGAAATTTGAAGTTATTTCTAACAAAATGTGAGCAATCTGAAATGCACTAAAGTTAGAAGAAAACACTGTTCGAACAGTTTTTTTTCTAACTTTAGTGCATTTTAGAATGCTCATATTTATATTACAGATAATTTTGAAATTTTTTAACTAAAGCTGAATGTTTGAAGTGCAAAGTCGGGTTGAGTGTTCATTCCACCAATTGTTTTACTAAAATCTCCAGCCCCAATGCAAAATATTAGGTTATTAACTTTGAAATAAAGTTGTATTTTGTTGTAAATAAAAGTATATTTTTTATCAATCTCTATTTAAAAGCATTTTTATATTGGTATTCATAATTTAGCTAAAATTAGACAAGAAAGTCTAAGGTTTTCATTTTAAAACCTTTACGTTTACTGATTTTGACGATATGAAAAGCGCTAGATCGTTGCTGTTTTCCAGCGGCATCTGACCAGATTTGACTACGTATAGAGATGGTTATTTTAAAAAAAAACTCGATAAATTCTCCAAACAGCTGCAAAACATGAAGATAAATAAACAAGCTTAGTACTCAAAACGTTGCATGAAAGGTATAGGTCGTGTTTTTCATTAGCAAAAGGTATGAACCATTCAAAAAATCACTATGGCAGACGATAATTTAACATTAATATAACTATACAAATGGTTGTCCCTTTTTTTACTGAGAAACTGAACTGGACTGAACTGAGTTTCTGAGTCACCAGATCGTAAAGTTTTCTCTCACCCAATCAGCAAAGTTCAGTAAAATCAGTTTTTCAGTAAAAAAAGGGACAACCATACAAATGTTCGTTTTTTTATTTTCTATTCCTTTTGTTCGCTGTTTCATTAAAATATGAACCAAAATGACTGTAGGAAGTCTACTATTCATTGACAAATAAGTCCAATCAATGTTTAAAACGAAAAAAACACTTTTCTGATTTTCGTTGAAATTTATTATTTTATTTATTTTATTTATTCATTTATTATTTATTTTCGATTTTCGATTTTCAGGTAGTTAAAGGTGTTAATCCTGACTGAACCCATGAGATAATTTTACCACCCTCACGACAGTATCAGTTTGTAAAATAACGGGCTCTTACGCGGTCAAACGAATTTTCTTATCCGTTCGAACATATTCGAGGAGAAATTTTACTTCATAAATCGTGGTAGATGTCTTGTGACTTGTAATGGCTGTCATAGTTTTCCATCACTCAATGATGTATAAGTTGTTTAGCTGGTCTAAGCCGTCGTTTTGATGCAACAGAAGAAGAGAAAGTAGAAGGATATATAAGTATTCTAGCTTTCCAGTACTATACATAAATCAGAACATTAACGGTGCAGTGCATGTACCCAAAAAAAATAAAATATCAGGATTAGGATGAAAAAATTTAATTATTTCGAAAATTTAAAACAGGTATTCCAAGAAAACGAAATTCTTTTACTATTGTGAAGAACTTGTGACTTGAGAGCGAATAGAGATAACAGATAGAAATTATTTTAACCTTTTTCTAATGCTTTTGATATTCGAAGGAGAATACTCGAACGAGACATGTGAAAATGAATGAATGAGTAAGATAGCGCGCATATTTTCGTAATTCGAATTCAGAAAAGAGCATCATCTTAATTAAGCACGTTCATACTTCTCTCTAGTAATGAATGCGTTTTAATTTTTTTATGTAATAATGTAGCGTTATTTCCAATACAAAATTCTTTTCTCTTCAGAATTCAAGCGATAGGAAAGTACACTTTTTCTTGTTGACTGAAACGATTTTCAGGATGTGTGTGTATATCTGTGTTCACCTACTCTTAACTGTTAGTAGTATTTTTTTAAACGATGCTGATTGTTTTATTCTCTATTTTCTCTAGATAATCTGTTTTGCGCTCTCTACACGTCATTAATTAAGACTAATATTTTGCAATCAGCTTGATCATTACTGTTATTATCTATTTGTTTATTTATTAATCTATCTATTCATCACAATGCTCATTGAAGATCACGAGGCTCTAAAAGAATGGCTTGTCTCAACGTTAGAACCACTGTAAGTTGATTGCGTACCTAATGGAGAGACATCATTTAAGTTCAAAGTACTTGATTAATTGTTAGAAAAAGAAAATTGTTACTTTCATCTTAACCTTTTACGTAAGCTGTTTGTTTTCTAGTTGCGATGCTGAACCAATCGCATTAGCCCGTTACGTGTTGGCTTTAGTTGGAAAAGACAAACCGTTAGATAAATTAAGAGAAAATTGCATAGACCGTTTAGAAGTCTTTTTAGATAAAGGTAAGAACTATTAAAAAATAATACTGTCCTCTATTGACAAATTTTGTTTTTTTTGATGTTTTTAGTTACAAAAGATTTTGTAGATCAATTGTTTGATGTCATTAAGAATGTTAAATACATTCCAGATACAAAAAAAGTATGTTTACTATGTATACCACATGGAGTTAAAGCGTTTATTTTTCCACTTCTACAGAACATTCCTTTTTTTTCTTTTCAAAAGCTTAGTTACTTTTCACAACAAGGGCTTCAATACTTATATAAAGGAGTTTATTATAACTTTGTTTGTTTAGGAAAATGTTCAACCTTCAATCTCTAATGATAACGGTGATCAACAAGCAGAAGATAAAAACCAAGAATCAACAACTCCACCTACGAATGATCGAAACGCAACAAATAAAAGTTCTGAAGAACAACAGCGAATACAGTCACAAACTGAAACAAATGCAGATCAACCTTCTCCAATCGTAGCACCCGATTCACAACAAACAACAACTTTGGCTACACCACAACAACCTCAACCCAGTCAATCATATAAAAGGTATTGAAATGAGAAATCAAGTAAATAAGAATCGAGTGTTTTTGGAACCAAAAATGTATTGGGATAATCTTAAACACTGCCATTACTGTAATTTTTCGCATAGTTCATCTAGAACTTATCGAATGGCATTTCATTTTACGAGTAGGTCACGAATATTAAGCTATTTTTTTATCAAAACATGGACAGAGCGTACTGGAGAATAAAGTCAGAGTGTGTAGGGATCATTTGACTATGAAGATCATTAATGATCCTTTGTAAAAGAATTTTGACGACATAAAGTTTCCGCAGTGATCGGACATCAATGGTCTGTTAGGTAAATCTTTTACTCAGTATATTAAATGTGACTGGTGACGAAAAACTTTATCTTGTTCGATATGAATATCTTTTTTTTATCAATGTTTGCTAAAGATTTCTAATTGATTGTTGTTAGACGTCATCCGTCGTACCATTATCGTTCTGGTTCGGATCGTCGTGGTTATTCACCTCGTCGTCACACAGGTGGTTCGTCATCGCGTGACCATCATTCATCATCGTCTTCGTCACGTCGACGATTTCTCTCACCATCTTCTGGTCAACAACGTCAACGTTCGCTTTCTCGTAGTGTCTCGCCACGTTCGCCGCCACCAAAACGTACACAACGATCATATTCACGTGGTTCATCCACAGGTTCCTCCACTCGATCAACACCCACACCACCACCAGCATCGTCAACTGCCACAAATTTTCTCTACAAAAAAATTCCATGCCAAGATTTTTTTGAAAATAAAGGTAAGAACGCAAGAAAACGAGTTAATTCAAAGCAAAATCATCAATGTACATTATTTACTAATTCCAAGTATTTACTTTTTATGATGAGCGATTTGTTTGGCTGAATGCGTTATTTTTCATCTCTTTCTTAACATTAACTTTTATCTAGTGCAACAAATAATTTACAGTATTTTTTATTTGAGTGATTTGCAATTGTTCAGTAGTAAGAGAATCTGACCATGAATCTTTCTCTCTTTAGGTTATTGTGCATTAGGTGATTCATGCCCGTATGATCATGGTACCAATGCGGTTGTTATAGAAACACCAACGCCACCTAATCAATCAACAAGTGGAGCTCCATTTTATCCACCTTATCCGCCACCGTATCATATGCAGCCACATTATGAACCGTACGATCCTCAAGCACCCGATCTCAATGTCAAACATCCACCACCGCCACCCGTTTCACTTTTCTTTAGAAATCCTCAACAACCAACACAACAACGAATGGTGGGACCTCCATTGCCCCAACAACAACAAAATCAACAACGGGAACGATCATTGGTAACCGTGGTGACAAATGCTGAGCCGATGCCGTTGGAACAACGAGGAAGATATGGTAATAACTGGTGTAAGAGGAACATGAGATACACACTACTGCTAACTGAGTCTGGTTTGTTGCGATGAAAAGAACATCTGATTTTAGTAGTAAACAGAGTCGACCACGCGCCGATTTTGAAAAATCATACTTGTTGACAAAATAGTGGTTATGGTTCTAAAAGAAAACAAATTTTAAAAATACGGAAACTTTTGGTCATCTTTTGAGCTTTTACATCTTGCCACATCCTTGTTCGCGTTCATAGAAAGATTACAGAACTGATTCTCGTATTTTTATTTATCCGTTTTTTTATTTACATATAGTTCTTTCTATCTTTCTTTGTAAATATTAATACCTCTTTTCAAAAAAATAATAACTCTGTTTAGTTATTATTGAATACTTGTTTTGGTACTTTTTGAACTTTATCTTCCATCTTGCTTTTAGTTGTTCTACCCGGTGGTCATGGACATGGTCCAAAGCGTCAAGTAATTACTGGTCCATATCCGGAACGTGGTCAACATCATCCACAATCACAGCAAGACTCTCGAAATGATTCGTCGAATGAAGGCAATCATCATCATCAACAACAACAACAACAACAACAGCAACAGCAACAACAACAACAGCAGCAAAACAATCAGAATAGTGGCGGATTTCAGCGTGGATGGAAACGACGTATGTTTTCTTACTTTGTACAGTTTTATGAATAGAAATGTGCCTAATCTGCTAGAAGATTGTCGGATAGTTCAGAATTACAATTCTAGAACTATAACACTGCTGGAATAACTTAGTGCTTGGATATTTCTTCAGCTATCTACTTTATCATTGCATCTCAATGGTCTACTGGTAGTTTGTTGTTTTATTACCTGTTTTAGGTATGGGAGGTAATGACGGGGGCCAATCAAATTCATTAACATTAGAAATACGTAAAATTCCACCTGAGTATAATACAATAACGAAATTAAATGAACATTTTAGCAAATTCGGCACAGTAGTCAACGTTCAAGTAAGTTTAATAGAAGATAAAAACGAGTTAAAGCATAACTAGCTATCTGATAGGTTGTCAACTGATTTGTCAATATTATAGTTTATCCAGTGATTACTATTGTTAGCAATTTTTAAGAATTGTTTCTATACTTGAATGAGATGTATTTTGACTTAGATAATTCTCGAAACTTTATTCATTTTTTATGGGTAATAAAAATGTTTATTTCTCTCTGTTCAGATTGCATATGATGGCTCACCTGATGCTGCTTTGGTCGCATATCAAACGTTAAAAGAGGCTGAAACAGCCTACAAAAATCCACAACCGTTGTTCAATAATCGATTTATTAAAATATTTTGGCACAATCCAGCGAATAAAGTGAGTAGAACACCTTTTAAAAGAACATTTCATATCATGCGATTATTCCATCTTGGCTTGTTTGAAGCAGGGTGTATTTGATCAGGAATACAAACGGGTAGAGAAAGATTACACTCTCTCTTCACTCTGTGTTCTTTGTACACTATATAAAAGGTAGAAAATACTAGTCTTTTATTAAAACAAATAAAGTGTACACTATTTAGAAAATTATTGACAAAAATGGATACCCCTCGCAGTGAAAAGGATTTTTTATTAAGTACAGATAGTCAATAGACTCTAGTTTTGAGGCATAGCACTGTTCAAAGAAATTAAATTTATTTTCGTCCAAACAAAATTTCACTTCTTCGATTCTTATTGCAAACTTATCGGTAGTTTTAGTCTGTCTAAGACTGCCGATATTTATGCCAATGTCATGATTAAACTGACATAAATATTTTCTTTTAAACAGCTCATTTCTCAACTGTATTTTTTCGAATGAATTGTTTATAACGGGTTTATTTTTTTTTAATCTGTTGTAGAATGTTTCAAATCCGCAGGGTAATTCGCACCTTCAAAAACATTCTCTGGATGGTCCTCCAGGTAAACGTCAGTTGACAACAACATCGGTAACAACACCTTCAGGCATGGAAAATCCAATGAAAACACGATGGAATAAACTTCAACAACAGCAACAAACGAAATTAACTGTTCCACAAGATAAAGGAGAACAATCGGTACTTCATTATTACTCAAACATCCATCTTTTATTCTTAGGATTGAAGGAAATAGTGAGATACTTTTGACATCACCCAAGAAAGATCAACTTCTAGTTTTACCTAATGTTCTTTAGACGTTTTGTTATGAGAAAATTTTTATTTATCACAGTTATGGATAGACTGTAGATAGACTATTCTTATCATACGTATATGCTCTAAGAATAGTAGTGATAGTTCATATCTAAAGACTAAGCGGAGTAATGATTTTGGTTCTTGTGCGCATGCGTATTAACGATTTAGGAATTACTGAGTTTGCGATTCAATTACTAAACTTTGAATCCATTATCAAATAGTTTTTTTCATTCTTATTCTGACATGTTTAGGTGCCAACTATTCGTTCGTCGAATGAACCGGCAACTGATATTCCAACCACCACTCAAATCAACAAGGCACCCACTACTCCCACATTATCAACGAGTACGGCCACTGTCTCAAAGAAAGATGTGGTTAAAAAGAACGTTGAAATTCGTCGCCGTCAACAAGAATTGTTGGAAGAACAAATTCAACAACAAAAACAGTTATTAAAAAAATTGGAGATTACTGAATCCACCGAAGAAAAAGAGACGATTTTAAAACTGATGAAACAATTCGATTCAACGATTTGTATTCTCAAAGATTCATTATCACATCCAAAACAAAAAACAGCAACTGTAACACCGGCTAAACCAACTGTGGCTACAAGTGGAGATGAAAAATTAGTAAAGACAAGGTAGGATGGAATATTGAGATTTTCTCCCTATCATTTTATCGCTCTCTTGTATTTTAGTTCGGCATCTTCGGCTGTTCCACCTGCTACCGCTACTCAACAAGACGTTTTACAACAACGTGTTCAATCATTGCAAAAACAAATTGATTCTCTTCGAGCTAAAACATCGGATAATATTCGTCGAGCCATTCTGAATCAGCCATCACTCTCATTAACGAATTTAGCTGTTCCATCAACAGCAATAATAAACAAAAGTAATGAAGGAGAAAAAGATGGCACATCAGCTCAAGGATCTACATTGTCTTCAGTAATCGAAAAGAAAGGTGCCTCAGCAACATCAATGAAATCGTCAACAGAAGATGTTATTCGTTTTGTGCAATTGCGACAAAGACAAGTGGTGATTACAAATATCAAAGATCTAAATAGGAATGATCTGTACGAATTTTTAACGGTAAGTATGACAATCCAGAAATGAGACGATATGTAATCTATTATCCAACGTTCTACCCACATAAAGTTAATTCTCACAATCCGTAGCAGTTGGATCGATCTTTTAGGGAGTTTTTGTGTTCTAGTTCATTGGTTTAGATGACTAAAGCATTTTGTTCATCATTGGCCAATATGACGAACTATGCGTTAGAGAAAATGTTTCTGAAATTATTGAGCTACTTACTGAGAGTGCTTAGGGATTCACACTGGCGTAGGATCTATTTTAATTACAAACGTCTAAGCCGTATTTATTATCAAATGATAATTCATTTTTGTTTTTATTTCTTTAGCAATTGGGTGCTATTAAAATTCAACGTGATGACATTGAAGATTCATTAATTGTAACATTTCAAAAAAAATCGGATGCAGACACTGTAAGTAGTTAGTAAGAAAATATCGTCTGATGTCTCTCAAAGTCTCGATACTTATGTTAAAAATACTCCGTTATGCCTTCTTAACAAGACCATCGAGTCTAGATCAGATCCAACGGACCTGAATCTTAGAATTAGATTTGATTTTAATCTATTGATCCGCAGTAGATTCCAGATTAGGTGTAAATAAGAATTTTTGAAACTAATCCGAGTTTATTCCTTATTAAGAATGGTTATAATGAGCAATGACAGTTTCAGTTACAGTTTTCTCATACTTCTTATACTCAAATAATAACTTTTACGCCCAATAATGTCGATTTATAATACAGCTCTAATTAAGTACACCTAATATTGCATAATAGATTCAATCTGTACTTCAAATCGGAGGTAGTTCGATTTATACATCTACATCCGCTTATTCATTCATTTTATGAGTTACAAAAAACCAAGCAAAATTAGCATATTCAGCTTTTTTACTCAAGCAATTTGGGCCTTCCCAGGTCACAGATCTATATCCAAATCTTTTGTCTCTACCTTTTCGCAGATATACTGGAGTACAACCATTGAGAGTTTTAAAGTACAAAATCTTCTTTTAACGTTTCTGTCAAGACTCTATTTTAAATTATAAATTTGGTTAATTTCAATTGATCATTCTGTTTAGGCTCTTCAATTTGGTTTAACATTTAAAGAACGTCCTTTACATATTTCGTGTTATATGGGACCATCGGCTCAATCAATCGAAGAAAAGAAGAAAAAACATCAACGGACACTATCGGAGACAATGGAAGATGAACTATTAGGTACACAATCAACTGAAACACCCGAAATAATACCGACGAAGACATCAACTGGAGAAGCATCCGCACAAATATCGCGTAATGCTGGTGATAATCAGAATAATAATGCAAGTGTCGAAAATGAAGAACAGGTAAGCTATATGTACATGATATATATATCTGATCATGAGTAATAAAGTTCGAGAATAGAAAGATTCTCTTTAAATGAATGTACATGAAGAATTGTCTTCTGTTTTAGCTAATTGATTATAATGTAGATGATGATGAAGATGATGAAGACATTTTATTAGGCTCAATTAGTAAAGAAGATGCTACATTACCGTCGCCACCTTCATCAAAAACTAATAAAAAGCCGAAAACAATAATCACAACAAGCGCTGCTACTGCAGCAGAGATAAGCGATGATGAAGAAAACGAACTTGAAACATCAACATCACAATTTGAGCCTATTTTAGATTTGGATGACGAAGATGAAGAACAATTATTAAGAAGTTAATCATCGAGAGAGAGGAGGAGGGAAAATGGATGATTATTCAATTTTTTTATGTTCCATTTGTAAGTGGAATTTTGAAAGACGATAAATATTTGTGTATTTCTGTTTCTTTTTTTTTGTCTATATTTGTTTGTTTTTGATTTATGTTTTCTCTATATATTTGATTGTCGTCGAATTGTGTTACACAATAAAATATAAACACACACACATACACACATACACACAGATCAATAATGAGAGACAAACGAAAGTTAGAAAAAACTTTTACTCTAAATCTGTATCGATAGTACTCAGCATGAATGTATACGTTTTTTAGAACATGTAAAAGTGGATGTACTTTCACTTTTATTCAGTTAATATTTACAGCGATACGGTAAGATAGTTGATAAGGAAGAATAACAGTTTATGTTTGGCAAAGTAATGAGAATGTTTTGCATCATATACAAATTTTTTATTGATTGATTAATTTGTTTATATTTTCTAAAATTGTATTATTAAACTAGATTGCAATTGCGCTGCGCACAAGTTGCGCTGTCGACAGACTCCGTCTCTGACTGAACCTACTGCTTATAACACAAAACAACAATGAAGGAAATTTGAAAAGCAGAAAGAAATTATTTTTCTTTCTCTGACTAAATGGCGCCGGATGAAGAAAACAATCTAAGTCCAAAACACATTTTTCTTCCATTTGTGTAGTTTATGGCGCCGAATCTTGACCATTACTTGAGAAAAAAATGTGCATTTTGCTAACTTTTTCTGCATGCGGATATTGGGGGGGAATATCCTAACTTTTCCAGACCTTTTCTAATTTTCATAGTTCTCTAGACCACGCGGTACGCATTTTGCCTATAAAGGGGACGAAAGACAAGAAAATAACAAAACAAAATTTTTTACAAAAATGCATAATGTCTGACGACATAAAAAATTTCCTTTCTAGTACTCTTAACGAGTTTGATTCTACATGGCTAACATCAACGAGTTTTAGTCTACGTCTAGAAAGTTTAAAAAGCTTGTGAAAACCTACTTTCATTGAAAGAGTTCAGTTTTGACTATTTTCATACAGAATCAAAATACTCGTAGTTCACTCAAAACTCGATTCAAACACTTGAAAATTTCAAATATATTCGATTTTAGCTGCTTTATACACTGATGTATATGGCAGCAAAGTAAGTTCAAAGAAAATAGCTTGAATGGTAAAGAGTTTTTTGAACAACATAAACATAAATTTTCGCATTTTAGAATACATTCACACTATGATGTGAAGCAGCTAAATTAAAGTGTATTCTATTGTATGGTAGTGTTTCGAATCGATTCTGAGTTAACCCAGTTTTCATTCGCATAAAATTAGTCAAAAATGAATTGTTTCACCGAAAGTAGATGTTTCTTCAGTTTTTTAACTATCTACTTATGAAAAAAACCCAATATACTTGTATTTAAATTATTTCAACTATGAGCTAGTTTGTCAAAGATTTTCTAGAAATTTTGCGATTTTAAGTTTATTTTTTATGAAAAAATACGATCAGGTTTTGGCTTC